TCATTGGAGCAGCTATATATTGATAGTGTACTCCAGGGGTAGGCAACCTTTTTGCAGTACTGTGCCGAAATAGGATTGTGATGTCCCGTAGTGTGCTAGTCCTATTTTTTTCAATTGAGGTGTGTATGCCGTATTGTGCTGGTGCTATTTATACTGTAGTTGCTTTGTATCATTGTATTTGTGTGTATATGAGCTATTATATTGTATATGTTCATGAGCAGTTTGTGATATCATGTATGATACCTATGAATTTGGGCTGTGTATGGGGCTGGCTGCTTGTAGAATTGTGTGTGGATGGAAATGTCACATTGTGTGTTTGGTAGTGTGTGTATGTGTGGAGCTGTTTGGGGTATTGGATGTGAGAGGCTGCATGTGGGGTTGTGTGCATGTATGTGGATTGTCACTGGTGTTGAGATTGTGCGGATTGTGTGTTGTGTTTGTGTGTGGGGTGTTCGTATTATTTGTATGAGGGGAGGGTTATACTGCAGCTCTGTGTATATCTAGTAGTGTGGGTGGTTTTCCTGGGTTCCAGTGGGGACCAGGCTGGCCAGGTACATGTCAAGGACAGGAGCTGCAACAGCAGCTGCGGGCTGCTCTACTACAGTGTGGATTCCCATTCACAAGTGTTGGAATGAAGTGATCTGTGATCACTTCTTCTCATGCTGCAATGCATAAATTGAGGATTGTCCTTCACCACCTCTTCGAATTAGCAGATATCTGAAGCTTCCCTAGGACTCCTGATAGGCCAAAGCCTGTTTGGCTCTAGCAGGATTGAGTGCCGTGCAAAGATACTTCAAGTGCCGTGCATGGCACACGTGCCGTAGGTTGCCTACCTCTGGTGTGCTCACATGAGTAGGAGAAATAATGCTAATCCAAATATTTAATTAGCACTGTTGCAGTCTTCTGCAGTAAAGAAAAAATATACTATTAGTGCTAATCTTTTAATAACAATCACAATTTATTAAATAACATTATCAAATAATTTCAAGGCCTAATAAAACCTTTTGCATGAGATTTTAATTTCACAGGTTATCCTCAGCCTTCAAGTTCATTTTACTACACCCACCAAGGTCTCACTGTAGATGAATGAAAAATTACACCTTAAAAAATGTATCGATTTTATATTTTCAAACTCCCTCAAGGAAAATATGTTATTTTTAAGTGAATTTAAATTTAATCAAGGAAACTTTAAAAGAAAAAAAAAAAAACTATTTAAAAATAAAAATTGGCCTTCCAGGATTATATTTCTTCTCGACAAGCAAATTATTACTATATTTCTCCATTAGTGTGTGATTGTTATCAAGAAATTTTGAAGTTGTTTCAAGCATGCAGAAATACCAGCGCCAAAGAAAATACCACAGCAAATTCATCTTTAATCTGTATTAGCTTGATCATGACACCTCCTGCTGGCATATACTAGCATTACAGTTCTTGTTTAAATACTGCTTGTTAGAGAATGGCTGTATTAAATAGCGATTCCACAGATACAAAGCAGGACTACCTGGCACGGATGTTCTTAACATCTTATGTCCAATTGCATACATGGCATTTACTTTGCAACCAAGATTTCAGTTTTAAATTTACCTCATTGACCTCAATTTCATTTGTTATGTAATTTATAACAAAACTAATTCTGCACAACAAATTCATTGTGCCAGGGAAGAATTCGAGGCAGGGCTTCTACTGTAACCAGTTTATTGTGGGAAAATGCCTGTGTCTTATGCAAATATTGAGTACCAAATTATGTGGGATATGGATGCAATTTTGGGTATAAGCCCAGGGCTTAAGATCCCCTGGTCTAGAGTAAATCTCTATAATTTTATTCTATCATTGTGACTTTCAAGAGGTAATTGTCTATTTGTGTTACATGACCAAAGACCAGACATACTCTAGCATGGAGAGAATGAATGGTACCAAAGTTCTTGTGCAAGGTCTCAAGATCGAAATGATGATATTTCAAGGTTGCTCACAACTTTCCATTTACAGGTTGAAGATGAAGGTTGAAGAAAGGGAGAACAGTGGGAAGAATATATATATAATTTCATTTATTTTTGCCCTCCCCTCTCCTGCGCAAAATATTTTGGTAAACTAGGCATTTTTCATAAGTGCGACTGTTACCGTCGTTAAAAGTTACTGTTGCTTTTATGCCAAAGGGGTTTTCTAAACCTCCCACCGAAACTGACTTTATTAATGAATCAGAGTAAAGCAGTACAGAGGGGGCTTGGTGAAATGCATTGTATATCTGTGATACTCTTGATTGCTCATCCCTGATTAATTTTCACTGTTATCAAGACCTGCGCGCCTCTTGTGCTTACAGGGCCGGTGCAAGGATTTTTGCCACCCTAGGCAAAACAATTATTTGATGCCCCCACTCCCTCCCCCCCATGTAGTGACATCAAAATGTCCTAGCCACATGACTCGGACATGTCATGACACCACATATGTCCCATCCTTGATTCTACAGCAACAGAAACAAAAAAGCATAAATTCACAAACTGAATTTAATGCTGACTGGAGGTAAAAATGACTATTTATGCCTATTTAGTTTAACAAGGAGAGAGGCTTTCTCTACTTTATTTTACTTTATCTGTACTACTTTAGATTATTACTAGAGTTGAGCGAACACGGACTGTAAAGTTCGGGTTCGTACCGAACATTAAGGTTTTTGGACCCCGGACCCGAACACAGACATATCATTAGTTGGTTACTAATGGCATGGCTGTGAATGGCCAGTGCAGCATGTGACCCAGCCTCTATATATAAGTTGGAGTCGCGTAGTGCCGCACGCACATGAGCTTTTATTAGTGTAGGGAGAGGATGCTGCAGCTGTGAGGGACAGATTAGGAAAAAATTCTGGTGTTGAATCTGCAAACTACAGCGATTATTTTTGTGGGTGCTATAATACAAAATTTTTGTACCCGGCCCTGAGCCCAGTGCCACAGAGAGTGCAGTGCACTTGCAACTGCATGTGTGCCAGGCACATTACTTTAATCCTGTTCTGGTAGCTCAGTGGGCAAGGCATTTTTAAATACTGCAATTTTTTTGGTGCTAAATAGTGCATTTGGTGTGTGCACTTCATATCTGGGAGTCAAATAGAACCGTCAAATACTGCTGTACATGCAGTTTTAAAAATTCAAATTTTTGGTGCTAAATAGTACATTTGGTGTGTGCACTTCATATCTGAGAGTCAAATAGAACCGTCAAATACTGTGGTTACAGTGCATTTTTAAACATTCAAATTGTTTTGGTGCTAAATAGCACATTTGGGGCCTGCACTTCATATCTGAGAGTCAAATAGAACCGTCAAATACTGCTGTGACATAGCAGTTTTAAAAATTCAAATTCTTTAGGTGCTAAATAATACATTTGGGTGTGCACTTCATATCTGAGAGTCAAATAGAACCGTCAAATACTGTGGTTACAGCGCATTTTTAAACATTCAAATTGTTTTGGTGCTAAATAGTACATTTGGGGCCTGCACTTCATATCTGAGAGTCAAATAGAACCGTCAAATACTGCTGTGACATAGCAGTTTTAAAAATTCAAATTTTTTAGGTGCTAAATAGTACATTTGGTGTGTGCACTTCATATCTGAGAGTCAAATAGAACCATCAAATACTGTGGTTACAGCGCATTTTTAAACATTCAAATTGTTTTGGTGCTAAATAGTACATTTGGGGTGTGCACTTCATATCTGGTGTATGTGTGCAACACTGGCTAGTTACCGCTTCTCAAGAAAGTCTAAAGACTTTTTAAAAAGTGAAAAATAAGTGTTATTGTGATCGCTTCATATACAGAAGCATTAATATACATTTCTATATTGTGTAAAGACACAACTACAAAGTTAAAAACCAAACACCAAAACAACATGCCAGACAATCTACCTGTGCATGGCTAGTGTGATACAATAAGTCTACATCTTAAAAATGCAATAACCCACAGAAGATGGGCGAGAATTTTCTTTTGCAAATGGAACTTTGATTCGAATTTACTACATCGGTCACTTGTAATATTGTTTCACACCTACAACACTTGTTACACAGATCTAAGTGATAGAAAACAGATTGATATTTTCTACACTAGAAACTACCAGATAACAAGCTGCTATATTTAAACCAGTTATCAATAGCTAAGAGGTACTTAAACAATATTGTAATTCTGGGGCAATACCCTCACAAGTCAAACTGAGAGGTCAGTTTATAGGGAAAACTGTTGCCTGGATACAATTCTAAAACAATTTCCATATGTCCTTTGCAGACTTTACATGCTGGAAAAACACAGGTGCCAACTGCTGTGGCTTTCTGCAGTGTGCAGACCGGCAAGGAGGGCAGGGTTGAGGAGTGGGTGGAAGATGATGTGGAGGATGATGAGGTCCTAGACCCCACATGGAATGAAGGTCATGCGAGTAACGTGTGCAGTTTTGGAGGAAGAGGCGGTGGTCACACAGAGGCACCAGCACAGCATAAGAGGGAGCAGGGTGCAAAAGCGGAGCAGCCGTCCCCTAGCGCTCATCGGCATGTATTAGCTCTAAAATTACCACAGTTATCCAAGTAACAGATAGAGCGATCAAAGGAACCATAACTGATTTAATAAGCCAGTCGCAGTTTCACTGTAGCGGCTGGGCGCGCTTTCGGCGTTCTCACCCTGCTGCTGCTCGCCTGTCTACGCTGCAGCGTAACTTCGGCCTTCCCGATCACCGCCTAATATGCGACCTGCCCACAAGGTGGAACTCCACCTTGAACATGTTGGAGAGACTGTGCGAGCAGCAGCAGGCGATAGTGGAGTTTCAGCTGCAGCACGCACGGGTCAGTCACTCTGCACCAGACTTGCCCTCCAATAGATCCTCGTTAAAGGATTTAAAGTGTACTCATTCCAATTACAGGGCCTGGAAAGAGTCCTGTATTGTTATTTATCGTCACTACCTCCCCGTGTCGGGAGTGGGTAATTTGTGCGCCTGCTGCATTCCTTGGATGTGGTAGCCACATCTCAGGCTCCCACTCTGGAATCGAACCCTGATTCCCACGTTACCCGTGGTCACCATGGTAGGTGCAGAAAGTAACATCAAAAGTTGATAGGGCAGACATCCAAAATGCGTCGTCGCCGCCACGGTCAACACCTCTTCAACCTCCTACTCCACATCCACCTCCTCCACCTAGAGCAGGGTGCAAAAGCGGAGCAGCCATCCCCTAGACAGTACGCCTGCTACTGCCCACCGCACCCAGGGACTGAGCACACCAAAGCCAGCTCCAAGGAGTTCCCTGGCGTGGCGAGGAGAACCCAGACGATTCCTGTGGCACCTCCCGATAGGCAAACAGGAGATGGGGCAGGAATCTCTCTCAATCCTTGTCACCGCAAAAGTATGGAGCATTTGCTTCAACGTACTGTTGAAGCGCTCACACAGGCCATTGGTCTGGGGGTGGTAAGGATTGGTTTAATGTTCCCCATCTCCATAGTTGGTGGGTCATTTCGGCAGTAAACTGGGTGTCCTGGTCTGAGAGAATCTCCCGGTTAAAACCCATCCGGGAGAACACTCGCATCATGGTTTCAGCCACAGTCTCTGTCTGAATACTGCTCAGGGTACCGAGTCGCGTAGTCCACGATGGTCAGAATGTACTTCTTCCCAGAGGGACTAGGCTTGGCTAGGGGACCTATAATTTCAACAGCTACTCTGCCAAATGGATCTTCACTAATAGGTAGGGAATGGAGGGGGGCCCTGTGCCAGTCCCTTCTCTTCCCCACTCTCTAGTAGACATCTGGCAGTACTGCCTCAGATCCTGAGAGATGCCTGGCCAGAAGAAGCTTTGGATGAGCCGAGACGCTGTCTGGCTCCTGCCCAAATGCCCTGCTAAGCTTCAGCAGCTCATACCAATACTTCTTGGGTCTGGGGCTGGCGATCTCTCACCAGCTGTGTTGTTGGGGAGCCCATTGAAAAACTGCTCTAGCATGACGAGCTGGGTGATCTCCTCTGGGAACTTGGCTTGATGGGAGTTGAGCCAGTTCTGGGTGGCCCTTGTGATGCGGCATGCCCACTCCGCATGGGAATCCTTCTCCCCTTTCCGGGTCTCCCTAAACTTTTGGCGGTATTGCTCAGGGGTGACCGCATACCGGGCCAGGAGGATTTGTGTAATAAAGGGATAGTCTCTGATCTGCTCTTCTGGTACAGCCCGGTAAAAATCTGCTGCCTTCCCACTAGTTTGCTGGCCAGGATGGTGACCCAGTCGCTGGGGTCCACATCTTGAAGTAGGCACTGGTGCTCAAAGTCTTGTAAAAAGTAATCTTCTGCTTCCTTGAACTCTTTGAAGGCATTGTATGGTAGCTTGTGGGCCAGGGTGGTTGTTCTTCCTGGCGCCCTCTGCTCCCTTCTTCCTTCATCTGGGTTCATGGAGGTCGCCCTCTGTCTATTGGCAAGGACATAGGCTTGCACCTCCAAAAAGGTCCTGCTGACGATCTCCTCTGAGGGTGGCTCTCAATAATATGCCAGGCTACCTCCTTGCGCACTTCCTTCTCATCTCTGGCCCCTGGCTAGGGTTCGTTGCGCACTGCATGCCTGGTTGTCCTCCATGAGCGCAGCAGTCAATTTGGCCTTGTTACACCCACCAGGCATTATTCCTCTGGCTCCACACAAGTCCTGCAGTGTAGGTCGCTTTAGAGCACTGTAGTCCATGGGTCTGTTGGCAAGGACATGGGATCCCGCCGCTTGCCACCAATTGAAGCGGGACCTGGGTAACCGATGGTTATCCCCTTTGATTAGAATAGGTCAGACCCATTTCCCCAGTAACCGGATGGGACACAGTTCCAGGATACAACATTTGACAATCTTTATTTGGGTACAAAGCTTTGCCTCCTGTTGCCTCCTCCTCCTACTTCTCTTCCTCCTCCTCTACCACCTTCTCATCCGGTCAGTGTAATACCTTCACCACCAACCTCAGCACAGCCAGGGGGAAATGACAGCAGGCTGTTTTAAAACTCATATGTTTGGGGGTAAACCCCACATCACGCAGGAGCTGTGGACAGGCATGGAACAACAGACCGATGAGTGGTTGTTGCCCCTGAGCCTCAAGCTCGGCCTGGTGGTGTGCGATAATGGACGAAATCTCATAACAGCTCTGGGCCTAGCCGGTTTGACGCACATCCCTTGCCTGGCGCATGTGCTGAATTTGGTGGTGCAAAAATTCCTGAAAAACTACCCAGATATATCAGAGCTGCTGCAGAAAGTGTGGGCCATCTGTGCGCGCTTTCAGCGTTCTCACCCTGCTGCTGCTCGCCTGTCTGCGCTGCAGCGTAACTTCGGCATTCCCGCTCACCGACTCATATGCAACGTGCCCACAAGGTGGAACATGCTGGAGAGACTGTGCGAGCTGCAGCAGGCGATAGTGGAGTTTCACCTGCAGCACACACTGGTCAGTCGCTCTGCGGAACAGCACCCCTTCACTACCAATGAGTGGGACTCCATGCGAGACCTGTGTGCCATGTTGCGCTGTTTCGGGTACTTTACCAACATGGCCAGTGCCGCTGATGCCGTTCTCAGCCTTACTATCCCGCTTCTACGTCGTTTTGAAAAAACGCTTTGGGCGATGATGGAAGAGGATGTGGCACAGGAAGAAGAGGAGGAGGAAGAGGGGTCATTTCCATGGTTATCAGGCCAGTCATTCACAAGTGGCTCGAGGGTGGGTTCCTGCACCAGCATAGGCCAGGTACACAATTGTCCAGCATCCCCACACTGTCCCATGGAAGCGTTCAGCTGTCCATCTCCCAAACACTGGAGAGAAAGAGGAAGTACCCCCCTACCCACCCGCGATCCCTGGCCCTGAATGCCAGCATTTCAAAATTTGTGGCCTTTGAAATGCTGTCATTCCGTCTGGTGGAGACAAACAGTTTTAAAAACCTGATGGCGTTATTGGACAAGAAATGCACCGCAGGCTGCAAATGTTTCTTTTTTTTATATGTCCCAATATTTTGGGGGCTACCCCAATTAAAAAAACAAAACAAAAAAAAAACAGTGTTGGCTACCTCCTCCGCCTCCTCCGCAGCTTCCACCTACACTGCTACGGTCACCGCCTCCTAAACCTATGCGTCACTTAGTATAAACTATGTACACAATAGCAGAGGCTTGTGAAGGCCTTTTCTCCATGCATCAGGAGTTGAGCTCAGTTTGAACAATGAAAGAGAATACCCTGCACTCCAAAGCTAAAATCAAAGATTCCATCTAGTGCCATTTTATGGCATAGCTGTATTTTTAATGTTATGTATTTTATGTTATTTTAAGTGATTTCCCTATCCACATTTGTTTGCATCCACATGTTACTTCCTTTTGCAGCCCTCTAGCCCTTTCCAGGACTTTGTTAGAGGCCTTTTAGTGCCCAAAAGTTCGGGTCCCCATTGACTTCAATCGGGTTCGGGTTCGGGGTCAAGTTCGAGCCCAAACTCGAACTTTTTGGCAAAGTTCGGCCGAACTCGGCAAACCGGAACATCCCGGTGTCCGCTCAACTCTAGTGTTTAGCACTTCATCTCCTCACTTACTTAGGCATGGGAGTTTGTTATGATTTATGATTTACATTTTTTTCTATGCCTATCTAGTAAGTCCCACAAGGAGAGAAATATATTTATTTTATTTTATCAGTCTGTCTACTTTTGATTATTAGGTCTGCCAATCTTCTAGACAGTGACCTTTCTCCCTTTGGCACTCTTTCTGGTGCTTAGGTACTAAGTGGAGATTTACTAACACCCTATGCATTAAAGGGCCAGGACTAATAAAGCCTATATGTATATTGCAGAATTAGGTGTTTAGTAACTTTATCCCCTCACTTACTTAGTCATGGGAGTAGACTTACATATAAGGCTAGTTCGTTATTTATTATTAGTTGGAGTTAGTTTATTTTTGTGTTGACACTTTATGTTATTTCAGATATTTACATTGTTCCATACCACTGGATGCTTTGGGCCTACATTTTTACCTCCAGTCAGCATTATATTCAGTTGGTGAATTTTGCTTTTTTGTTTCTGTTGCTAGTATCTAGGGTGTTGGGCGTTGCTGGAGTGCCCTCCTGGTGCATGGGATCAGTGTGGAGGCGGTGTTTATTCCCTTTTACACCCATTTTCACACCGATCCCATTTCTTTCTATTTTTATTAATTCTACAGCAGTCTGGACGACTGGCCAGTACTAAGGCTCTTTGCTGGGTCTGCCTGGGCAGCTCATTTGCCCAGACTCCGGTAAAGCCACCACATGCTGCACATAGGCATGTGCAGCCCATAGGCACGCGCGTCCCATTTTATTAGGGTATGCACCAGGAAATTCTTTCCCTGTGTTATTTTTTATTGTTTGGTAAGTGAAGATTTATTACAATGTTGAGTGGGTGTGTGGTGTGGGTGTGTGTCTTGTGTAGGATGGATGAATGTGTTGTAGCCATGTGTGAAGTGTATGTTGTGGCTTTCAGTGCGTGATGCATAAGGCTGTGTAATGTGTGTATACCTGTGAGTGTCTGCGTGTGGGTAGCTGTGAGGGGCATTTAAGCAGTGTGAGTAGCTGTGAGTGATATGTTATGTGTGGTGTATGTAAAAATGTAGGGGCACTAGAGGTGGGTTAGGACTTTAAGGGATATAGGGGGTAAAAAAGGGGATATGGGGAAGGTTTAAAATTATGTATTTTTTTTCCCCAAAATTTAAAAAAGAAAATGTAACTTTTCTTCCCCCTCCCTTAAACTTACCTTGGCCAGGGAGAGGGAATCTGTCTCCCTGGTTGTCCGGTGGGAAATGCAGCTCCTTCTGGGAGGCGCCAGGAAATGCATCAGAACGTTGCCACAGTAACCCAAGGCAACGCTCTAATACAGCTACGGCAGGCGGGGTGATACAGCGCTGGGCGGCTCAATGCAAATTGAACTGTGTGCGCTCCTGACGGTCCCTTAATCGTTTTTTTCTGAGCGGCAGAGATTCTCTAATCAGTGCCGCGTGGATGCTGCCATGGCACTTGTAGAGTGAGGAGGCACCCCTTCCAAATGTGCGCCCTAGGCTGGTGGCTTCTTTGCCTATAGGTGGCGCTGTCCCTGTGTGCTTTTACCTGTTTAAAGATCTGTACATC